CCCCCGCCCTTGCGCTATCGGGTAAGCCTGTCTAATATTGACAAGTCGAAACCAGATGCCGAATAGAGACGACTCGCTGAACCCTTGCGGTACGGGCCGCTTGGCGGGTTTGGCCTCTCGCCGCCCGCGCCGCCATCTGGGTGGAGCCGAGCCACTCGCCGGCGCCGTTGGGTTAGGCAACACATCTGTCACGCCCGCGCTGTAGGTGGCCTGGGGCAGCCCGCCCAACTCGCCGGCTGTACTACTCAGCGACTAGAGGATGCGAACCAGCAAAATACCGAGAAGTTGACGTCTCTTTCGCGTTTCGTTTTAGCCATGAAGCCCGAGCCCCTTTCAAACCGAAAGCAGGAACATTGAAACATGACTGATGTCTGTGCAAAACGGCAAGTAATCGGAAGTCTGGCAACGCATGGAACGAAGCACCGTCTAGTCGGTTTGGACAGGAATCGGACAGCCTGGCTCAAACGTAACGTTATAAATCTGCAGCGATGATCCGGACAATACCATAACCCCCCCCCCCCCTCTTCCGGGCAATGGGACTATGGCGAGCGGAGGCAGTCGCGCCCTCTAACGGGAGAATATTTTTCCCGAAGCCTTTCTTCTAGTTACACACACTCACGGCCAATGGCACGCGGGAGGGGGGCGGTTTAGTCATGGTGGTGGATGTGGAATGTGAGGTCCGAGCAGCAACGACGCGGCGAGGCAGTAAGAGTGACATGACGTATCCCTGCCGCCCGGCCCGCGTTTTTTGACTTGATCCGGAACACATCGGCAGGAGTATCCAGCAGCGAGCAGCTCGGCTCATGCGTGGTCCGAGCGCAGCGCCACGGAACGCGTGTCTGCTCGTGGCGCCAGACCGACATGCCGAGTGGCACTTGTCGCCCCCCACTGGACGCCGAACAATGCCACATAGGGGCTGCGCGCGAGGGCGGCCAGGGGGACCGGGGGGCACTCGGACTCGGAGGGGAGGCGAACAGGGCGCAGGTGCGGGTCTGAATGTGAAATGGGTTTAGGTGGAGCAATTTCGTGTCGAAAATTGACGAAAATATGCGTTGCCTCAGGTCCTTGCTGGAGAACGTCTAGAAGGACAAAGGTGTGGTATGCCTGCGTCGGGCTCGGCGTCGGGTGCACTACTCATGTATCCTCCCGGAGGTGTGCAAGCGCGCACGCACGCACGCACGCACGAAGTCACTGGATAGCGAGTGAGTGAAGAGAGAAGGAGGTAGAGGCGCGAGAACGCACGCAAACGCGTCCTATGGGAGCGAGCCTTGTCGGAGCCTTGGGCGTGAACAGCACTCTAAGTACACGGCAAAAAAAGAGCGCCATTCTCATTGTTTATCGTAGGACTGTTACTCAGGGGGCGCTGCCGCTGAGGCCGCTCTGCGGCCAGAGAGCGGAGCGGACGGCGCGGTAGGCGAGCGACCTCTAGTCATCGAGCATTTGGGCACCAGCCTGGGGCGATCGCGCATCCTTGCTGGTCATGCGGCGGCCTGGGCGCGGCCGCGGCCTAGCTGAGCTCCGACTCCGGTGTCGAACTCGGCCAGACTTATTGCCACATCAGTATCACATCAAAGTAATATTGTTACCCGTCGGTTTGGACGTTAAGGATATTAACGGTAATTAAAGAAGGAGAAGGCCTTCCCGGGGGAGGGGGGAGGGGCAGCCGGGAGGGGAGAGCGCTGAAGGATCCACTCCAATCCCACCAACCGGTTCCACCGCCGCGAGGAACCTGTCCCGGTCCGCAGGATACGCGGCGCGCTTCGATTGAAACGCATCCCGGCCGCGACCGACGACGTGGCGCCGTCAAACACAGCCGTGCGATTCAGAGACCGACCATGCAGTAAGGAGCCGCCTCCAACGGACTCATCGACGGGGGAGTGGAAGTGAGGCAGACAGGAGTGTCGGCCTGTGTGAAGTCTCTGCGGTAGCGGTTGTGACGACGCCAGGCCACGACGACGCGGGTAGTCGTGTGGCATGGAAGGCGCGTAGAAGGTGCGACTTCCGACCGACCGGCACGGGCACGACGCGCGGCGGGCCGCAGCCGCCGGTGGCCTTGTCGCGGCTACTGCTCACTCTCCCTCTCTCTCTCCCCCTCCTTGTTATCTCCAGCATCTCTATGGCTTCTCTCTCATTATGCCATTCATGCACCTGCAGTCGTCACTCCTCGCCAGGCCAGCAGGCCAGGCCAGTCGGGGGCCGGCGCAGAGCAGTGAGCCGCGCCGCCGGCGGGTAGGCTACGCCGCCCAACAGGCGAGCCCGGCGGGACGGCCTACCCGCGGCGGCGGCAGGGGGACTGAGAATAAAAACGTTAACAATTCTTGTGAACGGCGAAACGAACCAACTGGTGAAGGAAATTCAGTTCTAATAAGATGTTATACACAAAGCACTCTTTAATTTCTTGTTGAATCTTTTTGTGTGGTGTCTTTTTGCATTATCGACCCCAAGTTTGAAAACTGTACACTATTTTTCACGAGGGCGGCAAGCGCTTGCGGAGTGGACTACTGGGACTACTCAGAGTAAGGTGTGTTCATTGTTGGACTGTTACCTAGACGCGGCTCAAAATGCAACAGGTGTCTGGTAGAAGCGGGTTCGTTTAAAAAGAAAGGCGTCAAGGCGGTGCAGGGCGGTGCAGGGCGGCGGATGGTGGCGGTAGAGGGTGGTGCGGGGCTGGGCGGGTCGGGCGGTGTAGCAATTATCCTGGACAGATAAGTCGAGGGGGGCGTCTGGCCTCACCCCGCCCCCGCCCTACCCCTGGCGGCACACTGTGATTCCTAAAGGCAACTTTTGTGTCGGCCGGGGTATTTGTACAAAAAGATGCTCTGGTGAGGGCAACATGCCTGAGACGTCGCCCTGACCAGGGAGCCTCCAGTTTCCCGCAGAAAGGCAACATTTGTGCGGGCGGGCGCGGCGACAGAACGCGCCGTGCGCGGGGACACTCCCGCCCCCCTCCCA